TACCTTTTTATACTAAAACTAGTCAATTATAATTTTAGTCATTCTTCCAAGCTGCAACTTCCTTATCAAAGCTTGTTAATAATTTCAACTTTGCGAAATATCTTCAAGAAAATATAAAGATTAGAAAAGCAGCTTTGACTTCAAAGGTGAGCTAAATTACTTTTCAGTATTCCTATTTATCTTTTTCCGGAAATTAAAGCGTTTTAGCACATGTGTAATTTTTGGGTGTTTGTATTTTAAAAATTTCCATCATAACCAAGTTTGTGAAAAATATATTCTTCATTTTGTCACCTCATTTCCATCAATCATCGACCGATAGTCAAATAATTGATTGAAAATAGGTTTTCATATTTTATAACTTTATATTTTACTCCACCAATATATGCTGGTATAGTTAGTACAATTCTTATTGCAATTCCTAACAACCTACACACAGTCATACTAGCACCCTTTAACTTCCATTTAATTTATTTATTAATTAGTTTAAATGAAGGGTTTCACTAAATTCGACATTTTCAGATCGCCGGCAAATACCTGATGACATTTGGTTATTCGAAGACGAAGTGATTAAATCTTTTTACTATTACATGGTTTATGAAGGTCAACTGAAACTTCCGAATTCAATGACACAACCTTTAGCAATATGAATGTATTTTGGATGGTATAAAGAGGAAGTCTTTCTTAACAAAACGAAAATTCTTCAGCAACATCCACATCCAAATGTAATCCTTGTCTCTGCTAGTGGTTGGTTGAAAAATACGGATCGATAATTTGTTGCTACTGAAAGATGCCAGTTCCTAACTCTCAAAGAATAATATGAAGAAAGGGAGGAAAATAATATTCCTTTTGATCCAAGCCTTGCTCTTGTATATGCAAAACAGATAGTTAGTGGTGCTCAACATCTGCATAAACATAATATTTTGTTCATGGAAGATTGATGAGAATATTCTGTTTTCACTCGACATGCAAAATGTGAAGATTAGTTTATATAATCCATATTTATATTCCACCTTAATTTTACCAACACTCAGCGTTGAAAATGATACACGTATGCTGGGTAATATTTTGTATGGTTTATGGTTTAACAAATTCGAAACATATAGTGTTTTACAGTCGCGGTTGCTTGAAACTAACCACCTTTCCTTGCTCTCTATGCCTTTGCGCAGGTGGATCCGTATGCGTATTACGCAAGGTTGCTGTAGCAAGAGTGTAAATAGCTATTCTATTCAATTCAAGAGTCTTTCTGCACACGAACACAAATATATTTCTGTAACGTTTCGTCTGACCGAGGTCAGACTTCTTCAGACAAGCATTTTACAACTATAAAAAGAAACGCAATTGCATGCACATAAATATTGGTTTCAAATGTTGGGTCTGTTTGCGATAGGGAGATATAAATAAAATTGGGACAGTGCCAGAACAATAGGAAAGCTAAATTTTATTTAAAATCAATAGATACCCCACAGTGTAGTGAGTGACAATTAAAAAGAAAATTAAACAATTTCATGCTGTTATCCCGTAACTCCGACTGTGGTATCGCCTAAGTTCATTTAAGGGTCATGGCTGCAATGTAAGGAAATGACTTAAACCGCGAAATAGAAATCAAGTGTAAGTGTCAATGAAATGTAATGTTCAAATTAGCATAAATTGTGAATTCATCTATCTCTTGAATTCATCCCTAGAGGTTCTAATGTTTTGAATTTGTTAATAAAATAGATTTCTTTTGTTTGTCGGTATACTTGATCTCGATATAGTTTTTCTATTCAAATCACCAAAAAGTCGTTGATGAATGGCCTGATTGATTGAAATGTTTGCCAACTGCAAGATCTTTGTTTTTTTGATTGATGCTTCTAATGTGTTCTGTAATTCTGTATTTTAAATGTCTGCCTGTTTCACCGACGTACTGCATGCCACAATTTCTACAGGTATCAGGTATATGACATTTTCTGAATTGCACGTTATTCTTTGATTGATATTCATTTGAAGTCTTGTGATGCTGCTAGTGCTTGTTTTCGTTTTCTCTGAATATTTGCAGGTTGAGCATGATTTCCTGTTGCATTTATAAAACCTGATTTTACTTCTCTTGATGATTCCGGTTTCAACTTGGCCCGAACTAGTCTGTCCCGTAATGTTGGGCACTTTCTGTATGCAATTTTGGCGGGTGCCGGGAAGATGTTTTTCAGTCTTTCGTTGTTGTCTAGTATGTATTGATATTTAGAGAAAATTTTTCCGAGGTTTGGTTGATTAGGATGGTAATTAGTAACGAATGGCAATAGTTGTTGATCATTGTGTTTTCTTTTTGGTGTTAACAGTGAATCTTAGTTATTTCGAAAATTTTTCCGAGGTTTGGTTGATTAGGATGGTAATTAGTAACGAATGGCAATAGTTGTTGATCATTGTGTTTTCTTTTTGGTGTTAACAGTGAATCTCTAGTTATTTCTTTTATCATGTCTATTGTTTTGTCAATCGAGGTTTGTTTGTAATTTCTTTTTATCAGGTAGATTTTCATAATTTCTGCATGCTTGGTGACGAATTCTTCCGTTGAACATGTTCTTCTTATGCGTATAAATAGTCATATAAAGTAGCGCGTTATATATCAATGGCTGCTTTTACAGAGCCTTGGTCGAAGTAAACGCGTATGGAACAAATGTCTGAAAGTAAAAAACGAAGGTGAAGAACAGTCCACCATTTATTTAATTATGTGTTTTTACCCCAAACAAGGCTATAGATAAGTATATGCGGCTATTTAATCTAAATTAAAAAACAGCGAAGTATGGCCCACGCTTAAAACTATATATATATACTGATTATTTTCTTTTACACGCTTTTTCCTGAAGTGTTTGATATTTTTGCTCAGCACTCAACCTTAGTCAAGAAGTGAGGGTTTAATAATTTGATTATACCCATATCCGTAATGCAGTACCACACTGAACAAGATATGGCATGATATGCATAATCAAAATGCTGTCATTAAATGTTTGCACTTTTCCTCAGAACAAGAAACAATGTTTAATTGTCATTTTTGGTTTTTAGCTGAGTTGATACTGGTTAAAATCGTGTATGAAAGACGGTTGTTTGCTGCTGGTGGATGGATTTCCTATTTAGTACTTGACATCTGATTTCAATCCATCTGGAAATCTCACACGGCATGTTTTTGTTCATAATACCCAATCACGACTTTACAAACGATCAGTATGAGGCGTTACGGTTTCGCATGAAATACAAAAAGTACACTATGAGAATTCATTGTAAACATATCGTCTCAAAATGTTTCGGCTTCATGACCAGAACGCGTGACGATGGTCTTTGCTGTTCGTAACTGTGCGAACATGAAACCTACATGGGTGTACAAACTGCGTCTCGAGAGTCAAATATGGACCGCAAAGAAAAATTGTGCGGCCTCGGAGAAGTGCAATTTTGAATGATGTGCCCGCGAAACAAGATTTTAGTTTAGATAATTTAGTACGTGTGACCCATTTTAATCCCTTTGCCTTGCAAAGCCTATACCAGTATCTGAGTGTCACTGTCATATAAGCGAAACTAGGTAGCAAAATCCAGTTGCATATTACACAATGCTATAAGGACGTGGTTCTCACCAAATTAGTTTAAAGTCGGTGTGACAATAAATTTGACTAGAAGTTTTCTTTAGAAATTTTATGCGTTTCAACTCACCACTTTATATTTTCATCAACCATACATAACTCAACTACTATTAATTTTGTGGTTTATTTAAACTTATTAGTATGAAGTGATAGAAGCTAAGTTGAAGACACACGAAATAGATATTGTTAATCTTAGTTGTGCATAAAATACTGATAGTTAGTTTGCATACAAGCAAGACAAAATATGATTGTTTGATTGAAGAACGAAAATAATGTAAACAATTTGAATCTTTTGGCCCTTAAAGAACTATGCATTACTATGTAGATGTTGTTTAATTGCAGGAATATTGTACAAAATTGATTATTTTTTAATAAAAAAACAGCAAAATGGCTTGGACATTTATTATAATTATTGAATAGTGGAAGATGTGAACAAAGGATCGTTTTATTATGTGCATTTTGAAAACACGGACAAGTAAAATTTCCATTTGGGATTAGGTATATTTCTATTTAATATTATTGACTTTGTTACTGCATATTCTATATTTTGGCAGGTTCATTCATGTTGAAGAATATGCTATTACGATATATAAATAATTTCATTTTTAATTTCCACGAGATACCACGATTTCCACGATTTTTATCGCTTGCAGATTAGTATCATATCTTCTTTTAGACCGCCTTTCTTTTCTTGTTACGCCTGAAAAAAAAATAACCATGTCAAGTATGGTATAATATTTAAAATATATTTTGTATAAATTGAGCCATAAAAAACCTAAAAACCCTTGCCTCCTAAACGATTGCAAGAGAACTATAAAAACGAACAGGAGTGGTGACGATTGTAATAAAGTAGCATCAAAACAAAGTGCTAAAATAAAAACTATATAGAGGGAAAAAACAATTATCAGAGTTTTCATACAAATTGCTTTTATAGCTGCGATCAAAACTTGAGATGAAAAAAAGATTTTCGAAATATGCTTTTTTAATGAGATACTCACAACTGCTGGTTCAGTGTATTGTGCCTGAGGCTCTGCTGCTGGATCCACCTGGCATTTCTGTTGACTCTTCGTTCTTTCAGATGTCGGATTTTGTTTTCCACTTCTCGATACTTTATGTTTTCTAAAATGAGATCGCCGGGTTAAATAAAACAAATTGTAGGTAAAAAAAAACACTATCAATATGAATAAGACTTCAGAAGACACTTGTCTACAAACTACTTTTTAACAGACTTTTTCAATCATATATATTGACAAAATGAAATCCAAAAAGCCAATTTAACGCAAATAACTTTCTTTATTTGTAAATAAACGATGGGATCAATACATCTATGATGTGCTAAGATAGTCTGTCTAATATTACGCTATAATACGGACGATAATGCTATTGATATGGATATGATTACTTACTTTTCACACAATATGCAATAATAGAAATGATGATAATGAGTAAAAAGATGGAGCAAAGCACAATCGCAGCTATTTCTCCTGCAATCAGTTCGCGTACTGAAAAAGGAAAGAGGAAAAACACTTAACATTTATTTTTAAACCTAGCTTGAGGTTAGTTTCTTTGCATTCTATTTTGTAAACCACATCTTATATCAATGGTTCTCCACTTATCAACGGTGATGTAAAATTGTATGTAAACTGCCGTTTGCGTACCGTGAAGAAAATAGGAACAAATGGTGATGAACTGGACAGTCTCTCCATAATAAGATGAAGTATCGTTAGTTAATGCACAGCCGCTATATGTGCTACGTATAAATATGTTCACATACTTTCTTGTTAAATAATTCACCCCAATCCAGCTCTGCGGGATATATTCATTTTCAGTATAAAATCTCTGGCTCTAATGATATGCGAATGTTTCAGATTTAAAGTTTCAGATCAAGTTTATATAGCAGACTTGTTGCTCAGCAATAAATGTTTGAAGACAATAAAAGTACAGGTTCTCAACCAAGCTTGGCAAGTCCATAGAGCCCACGGACAAAATACATATAATTCACACAGTGTATTTTACTTACATGGAGGCTCAGGATCAGTTTTTACAATTACACTCGGTTTGGTACAAACTGAATTGTTTTCTTCATTCGCACTACATACTCGTATAGTGTAAGCTATGTCTGGTTTCAATGGTCCATTACATTCTGTATTCGTAACCGTTTGGCAAGTATCGTCAGCACCTTTGTGCAAGGAGGTATGTATAAAGGTGGGTATGTATCAAAGTATGGGTATAAATCGAAATATTTAAGAAAAAGTTTAAGTACATTTGCGGTAACCAAAAAACGTTCCTGAAAAAACAGGATTAGAAAATGCTAAAAATATCTGTCAATAATTTTTCACGGAAACCGCCTGAGTGTTTTGAAATATATTGAGCTTTTGAAAAAGTATATTCATTTACACGCTCTCGCTGAAACCTTTTTAAAATAAACATAAAAAATCTAGCATTGGCATTGGTGGGTGAGTATATGGAGAAATTTTATGGGGTCAAGGGCCAAGGTAACATCCACCACTGAAAACATTATATTTTTTTTGTAAAATCATCAGTTACATTAATGAACCTACCAATAACTACACTATTTTTCACAACAGCACGCCTTTTTCGATTACTGTTATTTTTGCATGGAACGGTAAGAGTAACATAAGGGGAAGAAACATCTTCTTGGGAAGAAGTTGCCCAAAATCTTGATAAATCAATGCTGACTGAAATATTAATGGCCAAGATTAGTCTTTAAGCATGTTGTATCTAATAATACATGGAAAAATTCTATTTTGAAACTATGTGAACAACAGACTATAAATCACTTTGCTAGAGTGTTCTTGCGATAAAAATCGCATTTTTTTAACGTATATCACTGGTCAAATATCTTTCAAATTTTATGTATAGTTAAAGATGCAAGTTGCTTCTAGAAAATCATAGCATGCAAAATTTAATCGACCCGATTTTGGCCTACTTGTACTCAACAAACAACTTTGGTTTTAAGTATTTTGGTATCGCAGATTAAAATGAGTTAAAATCACATGAACACTAACTTACCCAATAAAATGGGTAATAAATGCCGAACTAGAAAATCTTGGGGGCTCCCGAAGTATGCGAACCAAGATGGCGGAAATCGGAATGTAATATGTGTACTAGGTTAAGGTTAGGCCATAATTTTAGGTATAAATACTACGGGAGGCTCTTGGCTAGTCTTCGGACTGATAATAGGACTAAAATAAGGAAAATTGGAAAAAAATTATCGCCTAACCCTAACCTGTTACCCATGTTACGTTCCGATGTCCGCCATCTTGGTTCGCATACTTCGGGAGCACCAAATCTTGTCATTCCAAAAAATATAAGCTTCTAAATCAGACATATCAATGGCCTTTAATAAACAGCTTTATTTGCAGGAACAAGCATAAAAATGAACATATAAATTTATGAATATCATTTAAAAGTAAGTATAATTCCATTTACCTGTTGATCCATTTTGAGTAACTATATAAATCATTTTTGTGATTACTCCAGTATCTTCATTGAATACAAAGGGCTTTTCTTCACATACGTTGTTTACTGTGACAGTATAATAGGGAGGGTACGTCTCTGTATCGCTCGTATTTATGAAAGATGTTGTGTAGTTTGAATCTCTGAGAGTAGGAACTTGAAAGTGTAAAAAAGTACAATGTGTGAGTACATATATTTCATCATGTATTTGGCAGGTTCCACATTTGGATATTTGATCTGGCATGAAGTTTTTACATTGCAAACTCTACAATGGATGTATATATAAATATTTCACATTTTCTGGCATCTTTAACTCAATGTCATTGACTGCTTCTGTAGCATATGGTTGGTTTAAAATCATTCATCTCGGACAGTTTTAATTTTGTAAACAATTGCCAAAACAGCAGTCGTTTTAACATCTACAATGGCATTTGGCTTCATGTCAGTCACATTTGTATTGCATTCAAAATGTTCACACAAAATGAGTGGTTGGATCATTTTTATAGGACAGAAAATAAACACTGTAACAACGCTATCCGAAGAAAATAAACTTACTTCCTGCCCTTGTCTTCTGTGATAAGGTAGTTCCCAAACTCGTCCCAGCTGCGGATACAGCGAATGCGGATATTCTGAAAATATAGAGAAGAAATAAATTGTTGAATGTTAGAAAGGTGTTGACACAAAATACAAGCAAATAGCTAAAAGGAAGAGATTTAACAGAATAGCGGGACCAGGTGAAAAGTTCGGTATAAAATATCCTTGTGAAGTTAAAAAAGAGAATTGCAGCAAATCCAGCAGATGCATTGAACAAATATCTTCTATTTGAATAGTGAGAGCAGCAAATTCAGTTATAAGTGGAATATCAACGGTATGATGTAAAGGGAGAATTGTAATACGACTCGGTGCAATCATATTTGCTATTGTTTTTGAGATCCGTCTGACAAGTTGAAATATAGAGTGACAAAAAAGAACAACTCAGGTCATTTGGACATAATCTGGAGACAACATGACTTATGTATGTTGGCCCATTGTTGTCACGCGTAAAATTGAAAAAATAAAATAAAAAATGAAATAAATGACTTAACATAAAAGTAAAATAAAAAAATAGTTGTGAAAAAACATAAAAAAAAATAAATAAACAAAAAAAAAAAAATTAAAAATAAAAACGAAAATAAAATAAAACAGAATAAAAAAAACAATATTATCTTGAATATTATTCAAGAAAATCAGTAATGAGTTAGAAACCCAGGGAACACCGTTTGTGCGCGTAGGATTATGCATGACAACGTTGGTCCCAAGCCGGAGCAAATATTCTCAAAATATTTTAAATACAATAGTCAATAGTAACAAGTGTAAGAACTTTGTTATAGCTTCATAACCTAGGCCATAAAACTTAACATACCTGTATGTTGTATATGCTGTGAGTTCTCTCAGAACCACAGTTGTGTTAGTAGACGTTGCAGCGTGAGCAGTGCAGTTGGGACAATTGGCCTGAAAAGTATGAGCATATATTAATATTTAAAATCTGAGATAGAGCTCTTAATTAATAACTGTGGCATCAACTTTAAAAATCAAAAACAAAAAGTATCAAGTATGGTGTAAAATTTCTGCTTTGAAAGTTTATAATCATTGACATCAAGTAATATTTATAGCATTAACAGATAAAGATGCTTTAACACTTGTCAGCGTGAGTTTCAATTTGATGAACAACTGCAACAAAATTTTAATGATTGTAGTATTTTTGAGTAATTCATAAGTAAAGTATAATACTTTTTTTTAATCGCAAGCTACAATTGGACAGTACAATGCACGAATTTAAAGCATTAACAGATGAAGATGCTTTAACACTTGTCAGCTTGAGTTTCAATTTGATGAACAACTGCAACAAAATTTTGATGATTGTAATATTTTTGAGTAATTCAAAAGTAGAGCATAATACTTTTTTTATTAAGCCAGCTACAATTGGTCAGTACAGTGCACGAAGCTTGCACATAACGTATATTGTAAGAAACAGTCGTATTACCTGTATATATGAAACCAAGTAAGATGTTGCTCCATCTACAGCTAGTATTGTCAGTGTAAGCTGAACATCACTATCACGTGCCACGGTGAATGACGGACTTGAAGGTACTGTAAGACAAATATATAAACTTCTAAATTTTCGTGATTTCAAATCGTATCTACTAGACTATTTTATTTGATAATTTATGGAGGCTATTTTAAACAGCGCCTTGGCATCAGCGTCATTATAAGCAACTATGGTTTCAGCTACAGGTGAAAATTTTAAATGCTATGATTTATCGACGTAAGGTGTCGGTAGATTCATTACTCTACGGGTGTTGAGTGCTTGAAATTACATTTAAACCAGTTTCTACTGACAATATTGCTAAGAAATGCACAAGTAGCTATTTGATATGTCAATGATTCGCGATTAAACTGCACAGTCTTCACCTGATCCACGTATGATATTTTTGATATGCGATACTGAGCCAAAAAGGTTCGCGTTCTCCGAAACACATATTACATCTTGTATGTATGTACAGCTAGCCTTGTTGTCCTGATACTATTTTAAAGAAAATATTTGTAACAATTTGTATGAAATATAATACATGTTCACGTAAATTTCATACCTGATGTAACGGTTGTTCCTTGAGGTAATGTATATACACCAACTCCGTCAACGAATGATGTAATATCAAGAGCATAAACAGTATTGTCTTCAACACCTGGAACCGTCATAGATATCGACGACGATACAGATGCTTGAACCTGGAATAACGATTTTTATTAAGACTTGATGTTTCTGCATTTATCGAATGTAGATATACCAGTGGTTTCCAATCTGGGTCTCGTGGAGAAGTTAGTGGGGTGGCCACAATGCTAGGCTCAAAACTGACTTTACTTTTCCCTCGACTCCTTTTCCTACTAAAAACGTTCTTTCTAGTATCATCGCTCGATAAGGTTATTTCACCGAGTGTTTTTACTTTGTTGAGCATTACCATAATGGAATTCAGAACCTATCAATCAAAAAACACTATAAATACTACTGGAATCATAAACAGCGGTATCATGAGTACTAAAGTATACCGGAAGGAGGCCACGAGCCATAAAGTTTGCCAGTTTTCTTCAAGCCATATATATCAATTTATTTTTTAAATTTCCATTTAATAATACTTCGCAGATAGTATCCAACTCTGTTTTTCTCATTATTTGTGAACATTCCTATTCGTCGCTAAGTATACAGCAAATAAAAATAAAAAACTCAACATCAAATCTAAATCACAACACACTATGGTTGTAAGTCTTTTTAGTTTCAGATCGAGATTCCGACTTTGAACTTCTAACATTAGTTTGGTATATAATATTTGAATCAAAGACCGCACAAAATTTTTTTGCAGAAACACCTCTAATATACTTTGAATCATTTGCGTATTTAAATATTATATATATGCGCGTACTAACCGACGCACCAGCACCGGGTTTATCTGGCGCAGTCAAGAGTACTCCATAAGTTGTGGGTCCAGTAATCGGGGTTCCGGCGTTGAAGGTCACAACAATTTTTCCAGGTAGTGATACAGTCACTACATTAAAGATAGGGTTTGGAGCTGTAAAAAAGTACATGTTAAAATTGAAATGTTATTGTAATCGACATTTAGAAACATTTATATATACTTGAAAATTAATCAGTTTGTCAATTGTTTTATTCAGGATACTTACGTCCAGTGGCTGTATTAAACGTCAAATTCGAGGATGATTCACCTCTTCCACCGAGAGATACTGCGACCACAGAAACGAGGTACTTTCTATGTCGAAAAAATAAATGATGAATAATGAAGAAGAAATTATGAAGGTTATTTATGGTTTGTTTGAAATTAGAAATAAAGCAAAAGACCACACTGGCAGAATCATTAACTCAAAAAGCTTAATCTTTCGTTGTCCAATTGTGCTTTTGTGTCATTCAAAAATCAATCATCAACATCAACTTGTTTAATTTTATGTTTTCTTGAATATTAAAACACGAAATATATCAGATTTTTTTATCATCAAATATCGTAAAAAATAATATTGCAATAATAAAAAACTTTACCTGTAGACTTGGAGGCCAGTTGTTGTGTATCTGTTGTCAGCTGTAGCTGCGAATGTTTGCTGGTCGCCCTCATGGCAACTTGCGTCATTAAATGAATTGCAGTCATCAATATCTTGACTGAAAAGATATGCAGAATATGTTGCACATAGTGATATAAATAAGGGGAGTAATTGATATAAAAATGAACCTAATGTATATAATGTAATACTAACAAAGTGTGACCCTATAACACAATTTTTTTGTGTGGGTAGCAGGGACCTTGGAATTAGGAATGTTTTGCTTTGTTTCAGAATCGAAATCGTATTTTATTACCCTGGGTCGAAGTTGGAGAAGAAATTTTTGAGTAGCGAATCAGAGTTGGTATTTCTGAGTTAGAAACTTAACCGCTGTTTCTATTGTTAAATTATTGCTAATTAAAGTCGAAATATACAACAAGCTTAATGAATATTTTTAATTTGTGAAATAGAAAATTTTTTTCTCTCCCTCAAGTAAAAATAACGATTACATCACATGTTAAATGTTGATATTTTGAAAAATACCTCAACTTATAAGGTTTCTACCTTAGCTCTTATTTAAAGACAATAAATGATTGCAATAAAAATTAAATAATATGTTACATCACTGTTATAATATATTGGGTGACAGCAATTTGAGTATTGTTTGGACGTGTGATTTCTGCAACTGCTGTTGAACTGGTGATTTTTCTTATTGCGACGTCTTGAGGCACTTCAGGCACTGAGTAGAAAATAAATAAATTCGTGACTTAGGCATACAAAAGGTTTCTTTCAAGGTTTCTTTCAATAAACAAGAAATTATTTTACCTAATTTTGGTGTCGTAACTGTGACTTGGTCTACTGGACCTTCACCAGCGCTTGTGAATGCCGTCACACAGATAACATAATCAGTAAGAGACTGTGTTGCTGTGATTGGAAATTTCGTCACGGTAGTGTCACTACCACCAGACTCAGATCTGGCAGTCCATTTCACACTGAATAACATAGAAAGTTTCATTATACGAAGTTTGCAGACCGTGATCTCACTCAGAGTGTATTTAAATTAGATTGGTAATGCCGAACTAACAAAGAATTTTGTCATCCTGTCAAAATTAGTATTTATTTATTTTGAATTGGTTGTACGACAAAGACTTGTTGTGAAGGAAAAGCATGTAAAATGCAGTATAAAAATGAAGATGAACGTATTCCAAGGTTGAATAGCTTTGTGAGAAATATTATTCGGTATTGCGATGAGCAGTACACATGTCATAGATCATCATCATACAATAAAAACTAAACCAAAGTCAAATACTGATTGATGTCAAGAATCAAGATGATGATGGGTGGAAGTTCCTCATAACATTGCAAAACATCTGTGTACGATTAAAAGCTCAAATATATTATTTTAGTTTCTCTCACTTGTATTTTGTGATATCTCCTTTAGTAGGTTGTGGTATTTCCCATGCTACTGTTATTGTATAATTTAAAGTTTCAAAAGCAGCTGTCAAATTTCTAACAGCGGTTGGCTTGTCTTCTGCAGTTCGGATAACTAATGCATCAGTTGCTGCAGTACTACCGGCATTTGTTGTTGCCACCACCTGCAAATTTTAATAGTAACCGCCTAATGATTGAGCTATTTATTTGTCATTTAAATAGGTTTTGATGATTCTTTAGAATTTTACACTTCAGCTTAAAAGAGTTTCTACGGAATTATTATCCGGTCTTCAAAAAGGAATAATATATTACACCAAGGATTTTTTTTTATATTCACCTCAGAGAAAAGCCAATAAAACGGAATATTCATATAAGGCAGTGGTGTGCAACCTTTTTTACAGGCGGCCAAATACAAGTAACTGGGTGAAGCCGCGGGCTGCACCTAGAAAAACTACCTACAAAAGTCTCTGGAAAAATTTGTGGTTGTTATTAGGTATTTCTTTGTTTTTTCTTCTTACAATGTGTACCTTAAAGAATTTTCTACTTTCGAAGGGGTTTCCGAATTGGAACGAAATTAATTTGTTCCAAGCCACTTCGTATATACAGAAAATTCCGTAAGTACGGACGCTGTTTACCAGAAAATGCATAAATTCGTTCCAAGCCCCACAAAACACGGAAATAATATTTGACTGGGCTAAGCAAAGACCGTGGAGGGTGGGAGAACGGCGGTCGGAGGAGGCGTTAAAAGTTGAAATCTATGAAAGAACGTAATGCACGAAAATAAGAACACGCACATGAAATTCAGAGTTAGAATTTACTCTTTTTATTTTGCAGTTTTATTTTTTATTTTATTTAGTTTTGACTGTTAACTGAGTGAGACTAATTGTACGAACCCACGGGAAACGAACGGGCCAATGGGGGTGGCAGATAGTTGATTTGCGTGTGGCAGTGTAGGTACCACGAACATAAATTTTTATATTGCTTACGACACCATTCGTTGATTCAGAAAAAAACCCAAAGGTAAATACGTGATCATCATCATTATCAAATGAGTGAACCTGATTCCAAATATCCCATCTGTCAATGAAACAGAATAAGGACCGGAAATCTTCTTTTATTTTGGCGTCGATTTAAATATTCCATGTCGGCAGTTATGATTTTATTTTTGATTATTAATTAATACCGTCAACTTAAACTGAACGATATTGTCATCAACGACGTCGCGATAGATATTAAATAATATTTAAGAGCTATTTTATGCGATCTAAATTGCATTAAATAATAAAATTTGCCTCTATGTTCGGTCACTATCGAAAGGGTGAAAACAATTAATTACAAGACAATTTGCTTTTAGATTTATTGCCCAGGCCACACACACTATCTCGACAAAATTGAAATATACGATAATATTTACGCGCCGCATACGACTGCCTTCGATTACAACAAAAAATGAAATAATTGTAGAATGTTTTAAATCCAAACATTGACGACGGCGCTAGAATATGTGCGACATATTCGGTATTCTTACAAACACGAAAAAATGATAATCGAAGTTCGCGATATTCGAATAATAAATTCGAATTGGATATCCGTGCTTCAAGCACAGTATTAAATTAATCGAAAATAAACAGATGTCACTACACGCGCTTTTCGGTTTCGGCTTTTCGATGTAGAAAATCTTACGTTAGTCAAAGCAATATTTTTACGAAAAGAATTCTCGTAAGTTGGATGTTTTGTATCCAGAGCCTTTCGTAGAGTTTCTACCGTATATGCAAGTACAAAATTTGTTTCCGTTTGTTATTGATCTTACGACCTACGGCATTGTTCGGGGTCATGGCAGAAACGTTGAGTTGAAACGCACAAATTTCTAAAAAAACTGCTATTTAAATTTATTGTCACACCGACTTTATTAAACGAATTCAGTAAGGAAGAAACAGGCTTTTATAACATTGTGTATTATCCAACAGAATCTTTCTAGCTAGTTTCACTGATATGACAGTGGCACTCGGGTACTGGTGTAGGCTTCGCGACGCAAGGAAATTAGAATTGCTCGTACGTTCCAGATTAATTAAACTAAAAGCATTTTTCGCGGGCCCATCCTTCAAAATTGGCACTTCTCCGCGGGCCGCATAATTTTTCTTTGCGGGCCGCATTTGGCCCGCGGGCCGAAGTTTGCATACCCCTGATATAAGGTACCACGGTCTCTCGTTCGATTATCAGTTCATATCAAGTATAGGATTAATTTGGCAGTTATTTGTTTCACATGCGTGGGATTGATGGTAGAGGAACTCGTAAACGACCAGCAGCCACATGAATCACCCTACGGCGGATTATTTGACTATCAGTAAAGCACAATAAAAAATGTTTTTCTATCCTATGTTTACCTACGCGGATGGTTCATATGAAAAATATTACCGTTAAGGTGTATTCTGTGTTTGGTGTCAATCCAGTAAGGGTCAATGATGATGTTGCTATATCTACTGATTTAGACGTGGTGCCATCTGTGTATGTGACTTCATATGTTGTTTGTCCAACAGCTGGGGTTTGAACAGGCCATGATATTTCAATACTGGTTGGAGTAACAGCGCCTTGTGTCAACGGATTTGGTACATTCGGAACTGAAAAATATTATCATAAAATTATTGAAACTACTCAGTTGTTCCTATCTCTAACTCCTAAAAACAGGCAGAAAATCTATGAATAAAAGCAAATAGAGATTTTCTAACGTATCTTCATACACGTAAGCGTTGTCTCTGAATGGTGAACGGGCGACTTGCAAGTCTGAGACAGCCAACAAGTTAGCAATATCCGGAGACATCTCATTTATTTACCATTTATTTGCTATAGTTGTACCGGTTTCGGTCACAGTATTTTTGTCGGGTTTCTGCTCAGTTAGATATGGCAGAGTTAAGTTTGAGGCCTGGCGAAACCAGAGAAACAGACCAGACAATGACAGCAATTAATGGATGTACAGCGTGTTTTTATCACTTTATTTCAGCGTTTTTTCCGACGCTCGAGTTAATGAACTGTTTCGCCTTTATCGACGTATAACTTTACAAAAAAATAAACGTTGATTCTGTAAGTTACGAATTTGAAAAAATAAAGTTATGATGCATGCATAGAACAAAAACATATTCACATTTCCATCAGCTTTTTACGGGAACAATTTGAATAAAACTTTGATTGGTATGTTAAATATCCCCACATGAGTGTTTACGCATAATGGGAGCCAAAGAGAACTCGCTATTCCATGCGGTATAGGAATAAAAAGATGTTTTTCATGCATATTCATTATGTTATACCTTCTATCAAAAGCTTATCAAAATGGGATTCGAAATATCACATCGCTCAGACCATATGGCAAACTCCACATTTCATAAGACTGAAAACTCACCAACTGCAGTATAATCTTCAATTTGTCCCTTCGATATCCGTACTACAAAGCAAAGACAAAGAACAATTTTCCACATTTTTGTTTCCCGTTTTTCTAACTATTTTTCAATATAATCCTTGAGTTATAAAAAATTTTAATACCCCCTGCAGAACGCAAAAATTGCATATTTAAGTTTAAAACTTTTTGTAAAGTATAACAAATTCTTATGATTTAGCTATGTACAATATAAAACAAGGTTAATTAGAAAGCATAAAGCAAGCAATTGTTGGGGATCCAATGGAAAATTGTTTTAAATATTTTCACGATATAGGTTATAAGCATTTAAGTTGCACAGACCAGCATTTGGACGTTGAACAAAGCCTACAGCATTATAAGTCACTTTATAACGTTACGTTGCGAAATTGAAGCTTCGTCCAAAAAATGAAAAATAAACTTAAAAAAATTACTTCTGATTAGGTTATTAGGTAAACACCTTAAACTAATATTGACTTTTGAGGATGCCCAACATGGATTAAAACATGCAATCCTGAGTTTAGTTTTATTTGTAATATTTGGCCTAAATTTACCTGACCTTACCCCAAATTACACACAGTATTAGTTTCCGTGAAGTAGTTTTCAAAGGAGACCCTTCCTGTACATTAGGCTCTCTCTCTTTAGGCTACGCCCAATTACGTATTATCGTCGGGACTGAGCAAGTGTAAGGTTTTGAGATCATCTATGCGTTCATGCGGTAAAACCCCGTCTTAGGACGGCTTCTTTATACCTGGTAGATCGCCGAAGAAGAGAATTTCGGAGCAATGAAGCCAAAGAAAAACTAATCTGAAATTTAGTTAGGAAATTTTCCAAAGTATAAGATAATCTATTCCGAATAGGCGAATCTATTTTGAATTTTGATAGAAAATACAACACGCTCACATCTGTTCTCATAATGATCTTTGCAATATAAATTTCATCAGCCACAGTGTTAAGTCAAATGATTTTGGAGCATTGTTTGATTTAATTGGTAAAATTATACAAAATCAAATTTTGTCTATTTGTCTTAAAATAAAATGTCTTTTAATTTTTTTTAAATTTTAGATAATATTGTTTGTCTGAACATATGCCTTTGTTATCCCGAAATATCGAAAAGGACCAAAATTGTCGACAAATGTGTCGATGATTCAAATCAAAAATTCATCATATTATAACTATATAGAAAAACATTGAGAATTGTTTGATATAATCACTCCACAGGAAATTCCTTTTCTGCATTCGCATTGATTGTCCAATTTTCTTGCGATACTACAGTATCGGTGTGTATTATGTGATATAGAAAGTAAGCGTTTTCTTCTATTTTATAAACATTTAAATAATATTATTCTTTTTAATGTGAAGTAATGTACCAAAAAGAAAGACGTACTGGGTTTGCCCAATTCGCGATCAATTTAAAAGTATTTTTCAAAGCCACAAGTTAAAAATTTATTCATGTCCAACCAAGCGTTGTTGCGATTTTGATTTAGCAAAGCTTGATATATGATTTGGTCGATATAAGCAACGACTATGCCACGTTACGCTTTGCAAAAATGAATTTATATTCATTATGTGTACTGAGTTAAAATTGCTTTCACAAAACTTGCTGTCAAAATATTTAAAATGATGTTGGTGATGCAAAGTTTCAAGTTTAACTCCCCTTTTACTTATGTGTACAAAATCTTTAAGCTTGGCCTGACTTTATTTTTCGGGATATGTTTGGGCCCATGAAAGTTATGTTTCTTCAACATTTGACACCAGACAAAAACTTTTCCGATAACTTCCAATTGCAAAAATGTTTCTTGTTTTTTTAAAGAAGTTTTCTCTAAGTCAGGTCAAGAAAACTTACTCAAAAATGAGAGAGAATGGTTCCTGAGTGAAGCTAGGGGACGACTAAAATGACAAAAGCTACGCTAAGCTAAGCTTTACACTATAAGTTGTAAGTTCCACATAACTGAAATTCTCAGAAAACTTTCGGCATCAATTTTTTTGTTTACATTGATTTGATTTACATTGACTGTAATCGAATGAGAGTTCACAGCCAACCGAGTTGGGCGAATAAAATCAGGATATTTTGCTAATTTTGTTTTAACTATATGGCTTGTGGAAACGGGTTGTCTGGGTAAATTAACTATTAAAGATTTTAGACTGTAATAAGTTAAAAATAACAAAAAACATACAAATAGAAAATACAAAAAGTACAGAGCTAATTATTGTTTACATATCCCGGTGGCAAATATTGATGAATGAAACAAGTGAGTGGCCACCTAATATTCTGTTGTTGCGTCACCATTACTGCTGCTAAGCCTTTGCTATGAAAAACACAATTAATAAGCCGGTGCTTGGAAAAAAAGTTAGAGAGGGTTTTGCTAAATTCTCTAGAGGGTTTGAATCCGTTTACACACTCGCGATTTCGACTTGTTATAATTTGTCTTGTAGCAATTCAAAAATGTATCCTAAAGGAACGCTAAGTTAAAATAGCCACATTCGTGAAACTCTTTTAGAACCGTGATGAGAGAAATCGTTATTTAACGTTAATCTAACGTAGAATACGTAGTGTTGAAAGCGTGCGAATAACTATTCTGCATATTTCACTGTAATGAAAATTTATCATAGACTTATAACTTTACATAATCTCATAAAATATAACTTGATTAATATTTGATTATTTTTTTCGCCAAAGCGACTACGCAAATCAAACCAGAAATTTGTCTAAAGTACGAAACAGACCTACATCAATTCAACCTCAAGTCGGAGCTTTACTGGGACTCGAAAGTAGTCTGACTAACGCCACTGCTAAAACCGGGTGTCCTGTTCTAAAATACTTTTAGAGCTTTAGTACATTGTAGTACTTATTCTTTTTAATTAGAAACCCATATGACAAAGCATTCTATATAATATTTTAATGCTGTATACAAAAGGGTGTCTGAAAATCTGACTCCAAAATCTGATTCTTAGCCAAAAGTAAAAAAATAAAAAACGACCCAGGCACCGCAATACCAAAATGTTTATAATAAAATCGTTTGATTTTTTCGTTTTGTTTCAAAATTTTCAACCCCAAATTTAGAACTATCAGTAGAGGTTGTGCGAGACTAACTTTCAATCCTTTCTCAATACCTTTGCGCTAGTAGATCCGTATGTGTGTAATGCAAGGATGCTGTAGCAGGAATAAAATACTATAATATTCAATTCAAGGGTCTTCCTGCACACTAACACAAATATATTTCTGTAGAGTTTCGTCTGGCTCTTTTCTTGTCATTGTTGTAAACTGCTTGTCTGATTCAGACGAAACGTTACAGAAATATATTTGTGTTAGTGTGCAGCAGGACTCTTGAATTGAACACCAAATTTTGAAATCTCAATTTATGGCTTAGAATTTCCACTCTGGTTTTCACCCTAATACCAGACAATTTCGGACCTAGACTCCAACCCCACAGTATCAAATTGTACAAAAAATAAGTCGTGAGTTATACAATGAAATATCAACAATGCTTCGTATGCCGAAATAACCTATATAATTTTTTTTTTGGATAAATCAAACGAACTCAAAATCACACAAATATATCAATTTCAAACTATTTATGATTCATACATTATAATATACCCCTGTATTCTGCGTCGACTAGTAAAGTAATATCACATTCTCCTGATATGTACAGGTCACAAAACATTTATATGAACTAAGAGATTTGTTACCACGTATTGGGTTAGTGGAAATAATTTTGTATCGTTAGGGTGGGTGAGATGGGTAACATAAAATTAACAACAATACGTCACATTCCTTTACGCCTTTTTTCGTCATTTATCATCCATAAAAATCGAGGTTTGGTTGTAAAAATACAAGAAACGAATTATGGTTTTGTCGATTATCCTGTCAACCTCTGACAAACATTCCTATTCGTATGCAGTTTTGCCGTGCGAATTCTTTGACATTAAAATTTACGTTTAAATTAAATGGAAATAAACAATTTAATTAGATAAAACCAATTTATATACAGTACTTTAATAATGATCAACAATACGAAAACTTAAAATATGAAAAACTCAGTTCTGATTTTCAAAATAGTATATATTCTGATCCAAAAACAATTCAATCTATCCAATTTTATACAAATGAATGTTTTTGAATAAATTTACACATAAATGGTTCATTGTTAAACACGCTCCACTTCATTGACTACTCTCCCCTCCCATTAGTTCTACTTACTAGCAGATGAACTTGATTGAGGTTTTAAACTTCGTCTTTCTTGAAATTAAGATTGTTATATCAAAGAATATTCACGAAATTTTCTATAATCACTACAATTTATACACTATTTTGCAAATGGACAACAATTTGATTCAGATAAACAGCATGTGGAAGCGACAAGCTGGCTTAATATTATGAAAGACACTATACATACTGAACCATTAATTTTCAGCAAAATATATAACCTGATAATCTTACATTTTGAGAATTCAAGACCAAATCAATCAAGTTTTAATTTGGGAATCGAAAACGTCTAAAAGCGATGTTAATCAAGCCAATGCTGATTGTATTGTGCGAACGAAATAATGGTAATTGCCTGCATATCTGCCAAGTTGGAAAATTTATTTACAAAACAATTTCATTTTCTTGACTGCCGCTCTGATTAGTCTTCCCTCTCTCCACTATTGTTCCTCTGACTGCTACTTTTTCAGATTCCCCGAAGCACGCTATAATTCTAATTTTTAACACTGGTTTAACTCATATCTGGTATTTCACCTATCCTTTATCCACATAGCACATTCACATAATGTGTGAACGAAATTAGATATAGCAAACGAACGAAGCATCTATATTTTTGAAGATCTTTCTAATATCACTTTCAGAGAGCACTCAACAACTAAAACCAAAATGGCGAGTATAAATTGTCAAGAAAAATTGTTTTGTTCTAATTCACCGTTAACATAATCTATAAAATATAACGAATCCCCCTAATGCTCTCAAAATCAAACTGCATCTTAAGAGTAAGTTTTGTCAACGTATACCCTTCTAGCTTTGTCAAAACTCTTTTCAAACTCACATGAAATAATAGACTTGTATAA